CTTTCAGTATTCATTAATACGTTGTATATTGCGTTATTTATTTTGTGTTACCTTTCAGTATTCTTTAATACGTGTTATATTTTGTTATTTATTTTGTGTTACCTTTCAGTATTCTTTAATACGTGTTATATTGTGTAATTTATTTTTGTGTTACCTTTCAGTATTCATTATTACGTGTTATATTTTGTTATTTATTTTGTGTTTTTGTTACCTTTCAGTATTCTTTAATACGTGTTATATTCTGTTATTTATTTTGTGTTTTGTTACCTTTCAGTATTTTTTAATATGTGGTATATTCTGTTATTTATTTTGTGTTTTTGTTTCACGGTTCAGTATTCTTTAATACGTGGTATATTGTGTTATTTATTTTGGGTTTTTGTTACCTTTCAGTATTCATTAATATGTGGTATATTCTGTTATTTATTTTGTGTTTTTGTTTCACGGTTCAGTATTCTTTAATACGTGGTATATTGTTTTATTTATTTTGTGTTTTTGTTACCTTTCAGTATTCATTAATATGTGGTATATTCTGTTATTTATTTTGTGTTTTTGTTACCTTTCAGTATTCATTAATATGTGGTATATTCTGTTATTTATTTTGTGTTTTTGTTACCTTTCAGTATTCGTTAATATGTGGTATACTCTGTTATTTATTTTGTGTTTTTGTTTCCTTTCAGTATTCTTTAATACGTGTTATATTCTGTTATTTATTTTGTGTTTTTGTTACCTTTCAGTATTCTTTAATACGTGTTATATTCTGTTATTTTTTTGTGTTTTTGTTACCTTTCAGTATTCATTAATATGTGGTATATTCTGTTATTTATTTTGTGTTTTTGTTTCACGGTTCAGTATTCTTTAATACGTGGTATATTGTGTTATTTATTTTGTGTTTTTGTTACCTTTCAGTATTAATTAATATGTGGTATATTCTGTTATTTATTTTGTGTTTTTGTTTCACGGTTCAGTATTCTTTAATACGTGGTATATTCTGTTATTTATTTTGTGTTTTTGTTACCTTTCAGTATTCGTTAATATGTGGTATATTCTGTTATTTATTTTGTGTTTTTGTTTCACGGTTCAGTATTCTTTAATACAAAAATGTACGTGGTATATTGTGTTATTTTTTTTGTGTTTTTGTTACCTTTCAGTATTCATTAATATGTGGTATACTCTGTTATTTATTTTGTGTTTTTGTTACCTTTCAGTATTCATTAATATGTGGTATATTCTGTTATTTATTTTGTGTTTTTGTTACCTTTCAGTAATCATTAATATGTGGTATATTCTGTTATTTATTTTGTGTTTTTGTTTCACGGTTCAGTATTCTTTAATACGTGGTATATTGGGTCATTTATTTTGTGTTTTTGTTACCTTTCAGTATTCATTAATATGTGGTATATTCTGTTATTTATTTTGTGTTTTTGTTTCACGGTTCAGTATTCTTTAATACGTGGTATATTCTGTTATTTATTTTGTGTTTTTGTTACCTTTCAGTATTCATTAATATGTGGTATATTCTGTTATTTATTTTGTGTTTTTGTTACTTTTCAGTATTCATTAATATGTGGTATATTCTGTTATTTATTTTGTGTTTTTGTTTCACGGTTCAGTATTCTTTAATACGTGGTATATTGTGTTATTTATTTTGTGTTTTTGTTACCTTTCAGTATTCATTAATATGTGGTATATTCTGTTATTTATTTTTTGTTTTTGTTACCTTTCAGTATTCATTAATATGTGGTATATTCTGTTATTTATTTTGTGTTTTTGTTACCTTTCAGTATTCATTAATATGTGGTATATTCTGTTATTTATTTTGTGTTTTTGTTTCACGGTTCAGTATTCTTTAATACGTGGTATATTGTGTTATTTATTTTGTGTTTTTGTTACCTTTCAGTATTCATTAATATGTGGTATACTCTGTTATTTATTTTGTGTTTTTGTTTCACGGTTCAGTATTCTTTAATACGTGGTATATTGTGTTATTTTTTTTGTGTTTTTGTTACCTTTCAGTATTCATTAATATGTGGTATACTCTGTTATTTATTTTGTGTTTTTGTTACCTTTCAGTATTCATTAATATGTGGTATATTCTGTTATTTATTTTGTGTTTTTGTTACCTTTCAGTAATCATTAATATGTGGTATATTCTGTTATTTATTTTGTGTTTTTGTTTCACGGTTCAGTATTCTTTAATACGTGGTATATTGGGTCATTTATTTTGTGTTTTTGTTACCTTTCAGTATTCATTAATATGTGGTATATTCTGTTATTTATTTTGTGTTTTTGTTTCACGGTTCAGTATTCTTTAATACGTGGTATATTCTGTTATTTATTTTGTGTTTTTGTTACCTTTCAGTATTCATTAATATGTGGTATATTCTGTTATTTATTTTGTGTTTTTGTTACTTTTCAGTATTCATTAATATGTGGTATATTCTGTTATTTATTTTGTGTTTTTGTTTCACGGTTCAGTATTCTTTAATACGTGGTATATTGTGTTATTTATTTTGTGTTTTTGTTACCTTTCAGTATTCATTAATATGTGGTATATTCTGTTATTTATTTTTTGTTTTTGTTACCTTTCAGTATTCATTAATATGTGGTATATTCTGTTATTTATTTTGTGTTTTTGTTACCTTTCAGTATTCATTAATATGTGGTATATTCTGTTATTTATTTTGTGTTTTTGTTTCACGGTTCAGTATTCTTTAATACGTGGTATATTGTGTTATTTATTTTGTGTTTTTGTTACCTTTCAGTATTCATTAATATGTGGTATACTCTGTTATTTATTTTGTGTTTTTGTTACCTTTCAGTATTCATTAATATGTGGTATATTCTGTTATTTATTTTGTGTTTTTGTTACCTTTCAGTATTCATTAATATGTGGTATATTCTGTTATTTATTTTGTGTTTTTGTTTCACGGTTCAGTATTCTTTAATACGTGGTATATTGTGTCATTTATTTTGTGTTTTTGTTACCTTTCAGTATTCATTAATATGTGGTATATTCTGTTATTTATTTTGTGTTTTTGTTACCTTTCAGTATTCATTAATATGTGGTATATTCTGTTATTTATTTTGTGTTTTTGTTTCACGGTTCAGTATTCTTAAATTCGTGGTATATTCTGTTATTTATATTGTGTTTTTGTTACCTTTCAGTATTCTTTAATTCGTTGTATATTATGTTATTTATTTTGTTACCTATCATATCTTATTTGACGGTTCAGTGTTTTTCCTCTACTTTACTTCACGGTTCAGTGTTTTTCCTCTACTAGTTTTATTGTATGTTCTCTTCTATCATAATCTTATTTCACGGTTCAGTGTTTTTCCTCTACTTTACTTCACGGTTCAGTGTTTTTCCTCTACTAGTTTTATTGTATGTTCTCTTATGCGCGTCTTGTTAGTTTACTGGTCAAAATCAAAAAGAGGAATGGTTAATGACTAAAATAAAACTAATTAAACACCGAGTCAGGAACCTCGTTAATATGTACATGTTATGTCTTAATGCTTTTTCTTCATTTGTATCGTTGGTTTTTTCATTGCAGATCTTTGTTTTCTTATTAGTTGAGACCAAAGACAGAAGATGTAAAAAACATATTCTGGTCACCGTGAGGCCTTCAACTATAAGCAAAAACACGCACCACACAGTTATATTTTAATGGCGTATAAAAACAATTAAGACAGAAAGGGACCAACGACAACCGCTAGCTTACAAGAACGATTAAGCTTATATACATGTAGTGGTAATTGATGAAGCTTTGTGTTGTGGCGACGCTTAAAGCTTCAAAATTAGTGTTTTTTTATGAAAGTTTACAGATATGGTGATATATAGTGTAGGCTTGAATGGTGATGTACATTGTAGGCTTGAATGGTGATAAACATTGTAGGCTTGAATGGTGATATATATTGTAGGCTTGAATGGTGATATATATTGTAGGCTTGAATGGTGATGTACATTGTAGGCTTGAATGGTGATATATATTGTAGGCTTGAATGGTGATATATATTGTAGACTTGAATGGTGATGTACATTTTAGGCTTGAATGGTGATATATATTGTAGGCTTGAATGGTGATATATATAGTAGGCTTGAATGGTGATGTACATTGTTTAATCGGATAACGCAAAGGCAAAAATGTTAGCTTTTAAAATTATGCATTTTCATAACGTTTTGTGGGTAGCTGTTTACTCTTTTCTGTGTCTGCATTTGCTCCAAATATAGACAGTCGATTGTCACTGTACGCATCTTAAATCTTAACTACGTTAAATGTTGATATAGTTACTGAACATCGAATGTTAAATGCATAAAGAGATTACAAAATGCTAAACAACAGAAAACAGAATGCAAATTAATTGACAATTTTAGATGGAAACTAAAAAGACCCGGATTCTTTGTCAATCTAGTATCTAATTTGCATTAATATGATGTAATTGCAAAAGATTGTAGGATATAATAAAATTGCATTTTGAATATCCAATGCATGGATTTATTTCTGAAATAATGCGTGCATTCCCTGTAGGTTGCAAATGTAATCTTTTCACATGATATATCAGATGTGGACTTCGTAGTAATTTTTGTTCTTTGCATTAAAATTGATAAAAGACCTACACCAATGGTATCTAATGTTGTTTAACTTGACTCCCGACAGTTTCTGTAGAGTCTTAACATTTTAAGCACTTTATTTTTTATTTTAATTTACTTAATGACCACTGATTTCACGGGAAACTACGTAAAGCATCGTACTATTAAAGGAATATGATAATGGATTCGGGATTTTTTAATATAAGAGTGTCTGATTTTAAAGTTATCAAGCTGAAAGACAAATTTTCTTTTTCTTTTTTCCATCACGATCAAACAGTCTTCTATATATTCCTTATAGTCAGCATATGATTTATGGCATCATGTTTATTATAAGATATTATCATGGTAAAATAAATCGATGTCTATTTACATGGTTACTATTCTTTGACAATGTTGTATCTGTCTTCTTTAGATGATGAACTGTGATCTTCTTCAGCGGAGATGTTTTAGATAGTAACGTTTGACCAAACTCATTATAACCAAGAAGAAAATAAATGTAAGTATTATATTTTTATATGTCTCATATTTAAACCAACTTGTTTGTTGATACAAGTCTCAATTACAAATCTTGTATAACATTTATCTTGTAAATAATACACAAATGTTCTATGAGTCACTTATTATGTGTTCCTTAGATACATGTACGTTTTTATAGAGTTCAAGAAGATAAAGATGATGTAAATTAATAAAAGTTCATATATCCCATTAAAAGTATTGCGTCTTTGAAATCTAAAATGAATACTAGTACCTTCCATTTGTTTTCAATCAATCAATTTTTGTTTTTCAACTAATAGAGATAATGAGTATTTTACAGCTTATATAATAGACATTAAGTCTTAGATACATGTTTTCTTTTATTAGTTGTTATTGGCTTTGAACTAGCTTTCAGTAACTGCGAGTACTGTCAGATCTGTACTTTGTGTCTTGTATTTTTGTAAATTGTTTTATGCTTTGTATCGATCTTATGTTGTGCTGTCACACTGTCCCATGTAAGGGGGTGGTTGATCACCCACTAATATGTTTAACTCCGCCACATTCTGTATGTGCTTGTCTCAAGTCAGGATCCTGTAATTCAGTGGTTGTCATTTGTGTTTGGTTAGTTTCGCACATAAATCAGGACGATAGTTTACATTTATAATTTCAGGGCCTTTTTATACCTTGCTATTCGGTATGGGTTTTGCTCAATGTTGAAGGCCGTACGGTGACCTATAGTTAATTACTTTTACGTCATTTGGTCTCTGGTGGACATTTTCTCATTGGCAATCATACCCCATTTTCTTAATTTTTTTGATTATACCTGTAACAAATAGCCAATGCATCAATTATATAATAATAGAAATACTACTATAGGATATACATGATGGGAAAATATAGGTTAAACATATCTATTTTGCTAGAATGGAAAATTGATTGGACCATGGAAGTATTATATATAGTATTTATTTTAATTCCATGAATGGACGAAGTTATGGCAACATTATAGGGACGTCCTCGCCATGTACAAATATAAACACAAAACATTTGATAATGACGTAATCGATGTAGGGATGTATATTCTACAAAAACAAAATCGAAATACAAAAAAAAACGTATAGAATGCTATGAAATTATATTAGAAAAATCGCGAGTGTGCAAAAATTCTAGTACTTGTTGTACGTTCTGTATGTTTATGTTCTACTAATAAATGAGTGTACAGAATAAAATAATTCTCGATATTTGGCTTAAATGTATGGTCTTCGTCTTATGATATATAGGGGGTAACAATTATGTATTATGTTTTTTCGATATTAAACACAAATCTACCTGCATTATCGTTTCTTCAAATTGGGAAATTATAACAATTGTAAGTTTCAAGCATGATGGTTTTTGCCAATTATACTTAAAGATATATTAAATTTATTATCATAAGGTTCAAACCTTTCTTAGTAGGAATAATCGATATTTAGCTTACAAGATAAATATCATATCCCCAAAAAGTTATTCCTGAAATTTAACTATATATTTTGGTATCAACTCTTAACCTCTCCTAATATCTGGCCGCCAAGGTAGTGTTGTAGTAGCGTGCTCGCCTTGAGTGCGACATGTCTTTGGTTCTCATCCAACCGGCTCCACCCAAAGACTTGAATATATATTTTTACAGCCCTGTTTTGTGATAGTTTAAAGTCATGAAAACCTGATTCTCACTGCCAAATGATTAAGTACCACTTGGTTGACACCACTGCTGGTAGACTGGTGTTTCTCTTTGTATCAACTGCATTTGAGTCTATTCCGCTCTTGCATTACCCGGATTAATATATATATTTTGATAAATTTGTCAGTTGACAGATTTTTGTGTTACTTTGACTAAAAAACGATCCTCCTTCTACAGTTAAATTCGGTCTAAGGGATTTCGGTTATTCGTTTTAAATCATTTAGATTACATAAGTTTCGTTTATTTATGGGTTAAGTTAATGCAGAAAAGTGCATCAAACGTTGCACAGTCGTAAAACATAAAGATGACGTTTAAAATACATTTAAAAATATGCATTCATCAGATACATTATTCGTCTACAAATTCTATGTTACCCAAATGTCACAAATACAGGTTATTCTCACGAAAAGATTAGTTTATTGGTACCCTAGAAATAAGGTCATGGCTTCTATTTAAGAGCCTATCGGTTATCTAAATCTTTGCAGCAGACAGTTCTATAATAAGGTTTATTGTTATTTTTTACAATTAAGCAATCTGTCAATATACTAAAGACATTTCTATCTGATAATTTGCTTTCCGTCGAATAGTCTATGGAGAAATCCACTTTCTTTCAAAATGTTGCACTTGGGAACGTGTTTATTGTAAAACAAAGCATTTTCAATATAGAAACGTAATTGGATTTCACCACAAGTTCTTACCAATGCCTGTCGGGAACGTTTTATATATATTTAGTATTTGAAGATACACTGAAGAGTCAACAGATAATAAGGAAAACTATCTTGCATTTTAAGCAATACTTTTAAAACATATAAAACACACTTTTGACCTTCATCAAATCTGTAGACACACAAAAATGACAAGCGTAAACATGGTAACTCGGTATTTATTTGTGAGAGAAATGTTTAGATAATGTTATAGAAAAACTGTATTGTTAACAGTGAACACATCAATATATCAGCTTATTTCTGATAGTAGAAAACGTATATGCACTTTTATTCTAACATCAAATTGCATTTGACATATTCAGATAATGTTGAAATTAAATTTGATCTTAACCATAAAATGCACTGAAAGGAGATTATTAAAGACAAATTTGTATTAGACAATTTGGCGCCATAAAGCATTTTATCTATCACAATCAATACAAATGAATGACAAATCTTCAACTCAAATTCTTAAAATGTTTTTAATTTTTCGTTTTCGTTCTATTTTTAAGAGTAAATTGCTGTCTTTAACAATGTGTGTTGTTTCTCATTTCAATTGATGATTCAAAGTGTCGATAATCAGTCCTACTAAACGTGCTAAAGATGACAAAGTGGAAACATAAAAAAAGTCTGATTTACATGTTAAGATAACAGGTGATATCTAGAACCTACAGGAAAAGTGAAAAAGGAATTTTTTATTGCATAAATAATGCTAAAAAGGATAACAGAAATCTCCAAAACATGGAAAAGTACAGCAGACCACACCAACCACAAACATACGACTCCTACGGAACAAACTGACGTCCAAACAAAGACAAAATATCAACATAACACATGACTTGGTAAAGGCACACAATGTGTTGGGGTTCAACTAGTGCACACCTCTCCCCTTTTATTAGCTCACCTGACCTGAAAGGTCAAGTGAGCTTTTCTCATCACTTTGCGTCCGTCGTCCGTCGTCCTGCGTCCGTCGTCCGTCGTCCTGCGTCCGTCGTCCGTCGTCCGTCGTCCGTCGTCCGTAAACTTTTACAAAAATCTTCTCCTCTGAAACTACTGGGCCAAATTTAACCAAACTTGGCCACAATCATCATTGGGGTATCTAGTTTTAAAAATGTGTGGCGTGACCCGGTCAACCAACCAAGATGGCTGCCACGGCTAAAAATAGAACATAGGGGTAAAATGCAGTTTTTAGCTTATAACTCAAAAACCAAAGCAAAATGAGCAAATCTGACATAGGGTAAAATTGTTCATCAGGTCAAGATCTATCTGCCCTGAAATTTTCAGATGAATCGGACAACCCGTTATTGGGTTGCTGCCCCTGAATTGGTAATTTTAATGAAATTTTGCTGTTTTTGGTTATTATCTTGAATATTATTATAGATAGAGATAAACTGTAAACAGCAATAATGTTCAGCAAAGTAAGATTTACAAATAAGTCAATATAACCGAAATGGTCAGTTGACCCCTTTAGGAGTAATTGCCCTTTATAGTCAATTTTTAACCATTTTTCGTAAATCTTAGTTATCTTTTACAAAAATCTTCTCCTCTGAAACAGCTGGGCCAAACTAAACCAAACTTGGCCACAATCATCATTGGGGTATCTAGTTTAAAAAATATGTGGCGTGACCCGGCCAACCAACCAAGATGGCGGCCACAGCTAAAAATAAAACATAGGGGTAAAATGCAGTTTTTGGCTTATAACTCAAAAACCAAAGCATTTAGAGCAAATCTGACATGAAGTAAAATTGTTTATTAGGTCAAGATCTATCTGCCCTGAAATTTTCAGATGAATCGAACAACCTGTTGTTGGGTTGCTGCCCCTGAATTGGTAATTTTAAGGAAATTTTGCTGTTTTTGGTTATTATCTTGAATATTATTATAGATAGAGATAAACTGTAAACAGCAATAATGTTCAGCAAAGTAAGATTAACAAATAAGTCAACATGACTGAAATGGTCAGTTGACCCCTTTAGGAGTTATTGCCCTTTATAGTCAATTTTTAACAATTTTTCGTAAATCTTAGTAATCTTTTACAAAAATCTTCTCCTCTGAAACTATGTGGCCAAATTAAACCAAACTTGGCCACAATCATCATTTGGTTATCTTGTTTTAAAAATGTGTGGCGTGACCTGGTCAACCAACCAAGATGGCCGCCACGGCTAAAAATAGAACATAGGGGTAAAATTCAGTTTTTGGCTTTTAACTCAAAAACCAAAGCATTTAAAGCAAATCTGACATGAAGTAAAATTGTTTATCAGGTCAAGATCTATCTGCCCTGAAATTTTCAGATGAATCGGACAACCCGTTGTTGGGTTGCTGCCCCTGAATTGGTAATTTTAAGGTAATTTTGCTGTTTTTAGCTCACCTGGCCCGAAGGGCCAAGTGAGCTTTTCTCATCACTTGGCGTCCGTCGTCCGTCGTCCGTCGTTGTCGTTGTCGTAGTCGGCGTCGTCTCCGTCGTCGTTAGCTTTTTACAAAAATCTTCTCCTCTGAAACCACTTGGCCAAATTTAACCAAACTTGGCCACAATCATTGTTAGGGTATCTAGTTTAAAAAATGTGTCCGATGACCCCACCAACCAACCAAGATGGCCGCCATGGC